GAAAAAAAATATAATATAATATATATTTTATATATAAATATATATAATATATATATATATAATATATATATATAATATATTATTATATATAAAATATATATATATATAATATATATTTTTTTTTTTCAACAAGTCGGTCGTCTCCCACCGAGGCAGGGTGACCCAAAAAAGAAAGAAAATCCCCAAAAAGAAAATACTTTCATCATCATTCAACACTTTCACCACACTCACACATTATCACTGCTTTTGCAGAGGTGCTCAGAATATAACAGTTAGAAGCATATACGATAGAGATACACACAAATCCCTCCAAACTGCCAATATACACCACACACACACACACACACACACACACCCCACACACACACACACACACACACACACACACACACACACACACACACACACACACACACACGCACGCACGCACGCACGCACAGTAGGGCCCCATTTATACAGCGGGTTAGTTTCCAGGCTATCGCCAAAAAAGCAGAACGCCATTTCTTCCATTTTATAAATGCCAGACAACAAGTTTACACTAAATTATAATAAGTTAGTTAATAGAACTGGGCCCTTAAAAACTCAGAAAGTAAAATACATACACAGTAACGTTCATTACTTTTCTTAAAGTATGTATTTGTAATCGTAATGTAATGCGAGAGGTGAGTAGTACTTACTTGTAGGAAGTTGGGTGTAGGAAAGCCCGGGCTCCCCACTCATACTAATATACGATATTTAAAAGAGCCCAGAGAGTTAAAATACACATACAGAAACACTCATTATTTACCTTAAAATATGTGTAGTCTTAATGTAGGAAGAGAGGTGGGTATATTTATTTGTAGGAAGTCAGTGTAGGTAGCCGTATTTGTAGCCCCCCTAGACTACACCTGCCGGCTACCTACAGTCTGGCCCAGAGCCATAGTTTTAGCATCGACATACCTTGTTCACTAAATTTTAAAATCGTTCCTAACAACTACCTTTAGATGCCATCATAAACGAAGGGAGAAGTAATGAAAATTCAGCAGAAAATTGTAAACGAAAGCGGAGTGGGGGAGTGCCTGGCCAACGCAGATTCATACACGTTTTCCTGGTGCCTGACCAGAGAAAACCTGGCTACCACACAGGTCCACAAGAAATTTTTATCAGAGCACAATAAAAATATGCAATAAATGCCAGACAACAAGTTTACACTAGCTTATATTAAGTTAGTAATAGAAATAGGCATTAAAAACAAAATAAAAGGTAAGATACACAGAGAGAAACACTTATTACTTACCTTAAAATATTAATATTAATGTGTGAGAGGTAAGTGGCAGGGTGTTTTTTGTAAAAATCAGAATGGAAACACCATCATCCTCTAATTTGGCACTTAAAGCAAGAGGCTTAGGACTCCTCTTTTTATCATAGCTAAGCTTAGACGCCATCGTCAATGAGAGTCAGCTAGTTAACGAAAGAGTAAACAAGAGAGAAAACGAGATACAAAGTTCAGACAGAGAGTTTGCCTAACTAACAAAAAAAGGCACAATACCGTGACTGAACGATACACAAAAAAACCCCACACATAAAAGAGAGAATCTTACGACGATGTTTCGGTCCAAGTGGGGCCGAAACCCCGTCGAAAACCAAACTGAACAGATAGTGGGTGATCACTTTGTCGGGCGAAATAAATGCGTTTTAATATGTGTCTGCTTTTAGTTCATTCATGTACGTTTGTAAGAGTTTGTAAATTTTTTACCTCACAAAATTTTTTTTATTATAATAATAATTACCTCACAATACAAATACTTTTATATTGTGTACAAGTTGTATAGTTTAGTACAGAATACACAAACAGAAAACACTCTCTTTTCTCATGCAACACGCCATTTTTAGAGTGAAGGGAAGATAAATAATATTATTATCATCATCATAAAAAAAAAAAGCTCAAAACCCACAAGGTCGTGAATTGCTATAATAGAGTAAAGGGCATAAAAAAGGGAATATTTTTCTACAGTTATCCCCCAGTGTTTTTACTAGAGAAAGCGTAATTCTTCCGACACTACCTACACAGCCACTTTGTAAACAAATCTCATATTTACACCAATTTTTATTCTTTGAGTGTATGTATCATGTTTATATGCTATGTAACGTGTTTCTTATATAATTTTGAGGAAAATGTCGTGGATGGATTAATGAAAATTCTATATTAATGTAAAATAAGACATTTAATGTGCCCAAGAGTGATGATATTACGTACTATTGGCGTCATGAGTAGAGAAAAGACTTAGCGATTTTAAGTGTACCTGCACACCACACAGTGTTTTAAGTATATTTAGATACAGGTACACATAAGTATAATTATCAGAGTAATATAAAATACGCATAACTGTAAAACACTTGAAATTTGGAAAGTTTCTAGACATAAAAAGATGTGGTCACAGAGAATGTAAACAAACCAAGTGGGGCGCACCGTATTTGAAAGACCGCTTGCCGTATAGCATGTTTTGGTCAAAATTTTTGAAAATCGCCATAATTAGCGGAACGCTAAAAATTATTACATGTATTTTGAACTGTAGTATCATCACACTTCTGGCAAGACAGTAAATGGAAGATTGACGATGAAAGTGTTTCTTCTTTTTTCGGGTCACCCTGCCTCAGTGGGAAACTGCCGATGTGTTAAAAAAAGCTAATGAGGCAAGCTTGAGATGAGGAAGGAGAGCAGTCATCTGTGAGTCCTGTATTGATGGTGATAGTGAATCTTTGTGGGAAATGTCTAGTGAATGTATTAAAAAGAAAAGAAGAGTGGAAAAGAAGTAGCTTGAGTTAAGTAGTGATGGGGGGAGTAGACTTGGTACAAAGGTGCAAAGGTAGACATAACGTGGTAATTCATATTTAACTCTTGAAATTGTCAAATGTATATCCCAACCCCCTAAACACTTGTAACAATCCTCCAGAATTGGAAAATCTCATTTTTTTACCCTTTGGGGGTTTCGGCCATACTAGTACAGCTTATGCCCCAGGATTTTTGACGCACTAGTATCCCTAAATTCTAGCGCACTCAAATCTAGTGAGAGGAAGCTGGTAGGCCTACATATGAAAGAATGGGTCTATGTGGTCAATGTGAAACAGTAAAAAAAAATCTGCAGCACACAGTGCATAATGAGAAAAAAAAAACTTGACCGTGTTTTTGGAATAAAACAGCGACTTTGCACTGAAATTTTCGTATGTTAATTATTGTTGTATTCTAGTTTTCTTGGTCTCATTTTATGGAACGGAAGACATATTACAGAAATTGAGATGATTTTGACGGGTTTTTAAAAAATGAAAAGTACTTTGAAATTGAGCTAAAAGTAGCTGAAAATGTTCGATTTTACCAAAGTTTAAAAGTAAACAAATCATGCCAAGCATCCAATACATGTCAACGGGTGAGTCTGATTATTCTTTCACAATGTGCTGATATTATTTATACCATTCAACACTAATGCAATAGTCTGCATAACAAGTAAATCTTCTATTTTTTGTAAGATTAAAAATTCAAAGTGGAAGCCAAAGAAATATAAGAGGGGCCTGGAATGTGACTAGTGAACAAAAAAACTTGTTATTTTAGTGCCAGGAATGTCTTCTTGGTTTATTCTGGAGCCTATTCAGAAATTGGCATCTTTGAAATTTGTGTGAAATTGGTAAAATTGCAAATTTCTGACCACTTATTGGATAGTTGAAATTGGTAAAATGGGGTTTCTTGTACTCATTCGATAGAAAAAAAAGGAGTTCTAGTGAAATAATTATGATTTTTGTCGCCTAGTACTTGGAATTAGCCGAAAATAGGGCTCAAAGTGGGAAAAATTGCCGATGCGTAAAAAATCGTCGAGACCGCTAACTTTGCGAGAGCATAATTCCGTAAGTTTTTCCATCAAATTTTCATGCTTTTGGTGTCATTAGTTTGGGGGAAAAGTTTCTCTATCTTTTCATGATATATTTTTTTTTTTTTTTTTTTTTTTTTTTTTTTTTTTTTTTTTTTTTTTAATTTTGGCGACCCTGAGAACAAGTCTCGAGAGGGCCTGGTGGCCCTCAATGGGTTAAAACAGTCCAAATAAAAACACATCCTTTCTGAGCAGTTGGTTGTGAGGGTAAATGAGACATGCATTGATACCTGGCATGGGGGTGGTGAAACATGGTGTGTGTGTGTGTGTGTGTGTGTGTGGGTAGCAGAATATGTGTGGGTGGTTTGATACTGGGTGTGTTAGTGATGAAGTACATTGGTATATTTTGGGTATATTTCATCAAAACTTAATTGTACATCCTGCACTTTTGAAAAAGCACTGCATGAAAAATGTGCCCATGTGAGAGTCAACTATATAAATACACAAATCTTGCCCCCTTTATATATACATTTCATCAGACCTATGTGTCATCCTGCGGTAAAGTAAAAAAAAAAATCCATGTACTTTTCAGTACAGTACCTTCGCCATCTTTTAATGGCTGCTCATCACTAACCCACCTATGATGAATGCCATGTTTGTGCTTAAATTTTGAGACCAGACCACTCATATTCTGCATTCATTTCATTTGAGCATGAAAGTTTGGCCTTTTTTTTATAAGCAGGGCAAAAACTGCACTTGTATGAGCCACAAGGTATGCCTTCATGTTTCAGAACACAAACAAAAGTCTAGGAAGGGGGTTAATTGGGCCCTCCAACCACTACCTCCTAGCACGCGTGCCTCGCCATGTGTTTTTTTCACCTGGAGGCATCTGAGCCACCACCGGGCCAGCCTGGGAATGGTGAGCCGCTGCGACAATTGTCATTTATCGAAACCAAGGGTGTCGTACTGCGAGTGCATTCTCTAATGTTTCAGCTTTGTATATCAAAAAAAAACATCAAACAGCCATTAAACGAGGTTTACCTGCAACAAATATTTCAATAAATTGTCTCAGGACAATAATGTATGTATTCTTGGGGTAAGAGAATAGGAATACCATCCTTAGCTGTCTTATATTTTTCTTTACATTTTTTATTCCTTCAGGGAAAAAACATAACACTTATGCATGTCCATGATGGCACATTCCATCCCAACCAGAGAACCAAGTTGATGTCAAGTTCCAGACTGGTCAATGGTTTAAAAGAGTTGTTGGTCGAGGTCAAGCAATAAAAAACTCAAGAACTGGCCAACAGGGAGGAAATCATGATGGTTTTGGAAAATAGGAGCTTCTTTTGATAAGGTAATTCTCTTTAATTTTTTAAATTATGTTATGTTCATAATCTTACTGTGTTGTACGTAGATCTTTTCAGGTGAGCTACTTAATGCCTACCTGTTAAGTTTAAATAGCTTTCAGGTAATATTTTATATACAGTAATCCTTCAAAATTAATGGACCTAACGCATTCAGAAACTATGATTACCATTAAAATTTGTCATTATTATTATTTTTGAACTGTAGTATCATCACATTCTGGCAAGACAATGATGGAATGATTTGGGAAGAAAAGTTTCTTCTTTCTCGGGTTACCCTGCCTCAGTGGGAAACTGCTGATGTGTTAAAAAAAAGCTAACGAGGCAAGCTTGAGGTGAGAGGAAGGAGAGGCAGTCATCTGTGAGTCCTGTATTGAGTGAGTGATGGTGAAACTTTGTGGGAAATGTCTAGTGAATATATTAAAAGAAAAGAAGAGTGGAAAAGAAGTAGCTTGAGTAAGCAGTGACGGCAGGAGTAGACTTGGTAAAAAAGGTGCTGTGAAGGCTTACTCAGCCCTGTAAAAAACTTCAGACAGTATTACCCAAGGCTGACTCCTCCTCAGGAAAATTAATGAATAGAAAAAGAACAAAAACTGACAAACATAAACACTTTATTATTTAGAAAATTTAAAATATAAAACACTTAAATATGAAATATTGATCCTACATTAAAGAAAATGAAAAATGAAAAATATAAATGATATCTGAATTCAATGCTAATATATATATAAAAAAACTTTGGGGTCTGGGGTTGGTGAAAACTGCGTGTTGTTGAAATCGTAACCGTTGCCGATGATGGGGGGGGGTCGCAGGTGTTGATGACAACCCACCGGCTCATTCTTCACAGATTTTCTAGCCGTCAATAATCCGTCCAGATGACAGGAAAGGAGGTTTTTTTCTACTGCAATGATGAGGGGTTATATCCTGCTACTTGCATACACAAACAGGTAAGTGGATCAGAATTTAGGACGTCTCCAGAACGTTAGTCCCGTCCTCCTTCAATTCTACTCGTTGATTTGCAGGTGACCCTCTCTGTCCTTTCAAGCTGTAAAGAGAGACAGATTACCCACTGCTTAAAAATCACTCTCCATGATAAGTACAATACCTAAAGATGTGGTGATTATTAAAACCCTTTTAAAACCCATCAAGCTGAAAGGACTAAGTTAATTATTGGGCAAAAGTGAAGCTTTCAACCAATAAGTCCACTAAAATATGATGAGGCGTGTACTTACAGTAGTGTTGGGAGTTGTGAGTCAAGTGATTTACTGTTTGACCGGAGCCCCACACGTCACCTTTCGGGGGGGGGGGGATTAAGAAGGGAGGGGAAGGGATAGCGGGAGCTAGACTGACCCTACCTTAACAAGCAGCCGGCAATCAAACGATCACTTTTGGGGAGGGGGAAAAAGGGGGGGAATAGCGGGAGCTGGACTTACCCTACCTTAACAAGTAGCCGGCAATGAAACTATTGTTACTATATACTCCCTCGCTACTCCTATCTATTGAACTTTTCCCTCACACTCCCCCATATCAAGACTTATAGTCAAGGAGTATAAGAAGAATAAGCGAGGAAAAAGTTCTAACATGTGGAAGTCGCGTAAGGCAACAAATCGTCTACTGACTGTCACGACTTAACCAGTCAGAGAAATAATTGGATGAACCATTGATATACACAATATGGAACTTAAAAGCCTGGAGTGCCAATGTCCACCTCAAGAGGCGACTGTTGGTTCCCTTAAAAAATTTTTAGGTAAAATCAAAGGTTTGTGGTCCATTTCTAAAATGAATTCTTTTCCCCCCCAAATAAAATTTAAGCTTGGAGATACCCCACACAAGGGCTAAACATTCCTTTTCTATTTTGGGTATCTCGTTTTTGCGGGAAGAGTTTCCGCTTAGGGAAACATAAAGGGAAGGGAGTAAACCCTCAGGTATTGTAGTAACCTGCACCTAAGCCAGTATTGGAGGCATCAGTTCTTAAACAAAATGTTTTTTTTAAAATCTGGAATCTTAAGTATAGGTCTTTCGAAAAGATACTTTTAATCTCATTAAACTTTTCCCGAGCTACGTCGGGAAAATTCAAAAGGTTCCTTCACAGACTTTTTAAGGAAAATTGGATAAGATGCCTGTAAGATCAGTAAGGTTCGGATAAACCGTGCATAAAAAATTTTCAGAACCAAGAAAGCTACGCATGAGCTTCTTGGTTTTTGGGGGAAATTTTAAATTCTAATAAAGCTTTGATCTTACTGGGAGAGGCTGCAGAGAGTTATTAGAAAGTATCAGTCCAAGATATCTAATCTTGTTTATACCCAAGGAAGCAAATTTTTTCGGCTTGGCAGTGAGGCTATGTGAGCGTAACCTAAAGCAAAACTGATGTTAATGTTTGGATAAGTTTGCCCCACGTAGATGTCATTTCGTAAATGTTATCAAAAAACTGAAACATTTGGCATATTACCCAAGACCTTTCTCATCAGTCTCATGTAGGTAAACACAGGCAGTTACCAAACGAAGGCATAGTTCTGTATTGCATCAGTCCCTTGGTGTGTAGGAAAAGCGGTGTACTGCTTAGAAGAAGGATCTAACCCTTACTTGATGATATGCCCGCGCAATACAATCTCTGAAAAAAAGGAAGAGTCATAAAATTTGTGTAGATCGCTATCTATTAAGGCATAGGCCCCAGCATCACACCGAGTTATAGTAAATTTAAGGGCCCCTGAATCAATAGCAAGTCTATATGAATTATCCTCCTTCTTAACCATGACTACTGGTGAGCAATATGCAGATACTGAAGGTTCAATGATCTTTAGTTTTATAATTTGTCTACCTCTCGGTCAAATGCATCCCTAAGGTGAACTGGAACTGGGTAAAAATTTTCGTTTGATAGGATTGTCCGTCACTAAGTCAATCTTTTGGACTACCGTGGGGGTAACACCTGGAAATTCAGTAAAGACGTCTGAAAAGTTTCTCGCACATTGAAGTAGTTCATGTCTCTTATGGTCATCCAAAGATTCATTAATATTAATGTTGGTTTCGCCGGAGTGGTCAAGAGTCACCAAGTCATGTAGTTCTTCATCATAAGTCTAAGTTAGAGGTGTCAATTAAAACACACCTTACATTCTTCAGTTGTCTTATCAAGTTCGTGTGGAAAAACTAAGTCAAAATTTTTAAGGCAGTTAACCGAATTTCTTCGGTAATATTTTTTAAGGATGTTGATATGATAAAGCTTTGGTTTCCCCCTTGACTTCATGAGGTAGTCAACTTTCCCACAGATTTTATTACTTTTTTATGGACCTTTCCCTGTAAATAAAAAATTTATTTGACTTTTATAGGCAAAAGTACCAAACTTCATCCCCTACTTTAAAACTTCTCCCCTGACTTTTTGAATCAAAATAGTTTTGTACTGGCCCATTGACAAGCTTAAGTTTTTCGAAACTATGTCAGAGGTCTCCTCAAGTTTGGATCTAAGGTCAAGGAGAAACTGATAAGAAGACTGAACCTCAGCCTTTACGTCCTCGTTAGTCCATAAGTCATGAAGGATGGACAATGGGCCCTGGGCCCGTCTACCATAGAGAAGTTCAAAAAGGGGAAAACCCCAAAGTCACTGGAACTTCCCTCATGGCAAACAAAGCACAGGGTAGGTAACGATGCCACTCCTTAGGTTTAAGGGACTTGAGAATCGAATGCTGGCGCTCAATCCTCCCATTACAGCTGGGATGATAGGGTGTGGTGAAGAGAGGCTTCACTCCCAAAGTTGGTAGAGATGTTGCATTAAGTCAGATGTGAATTGTGTCCCACAGTCAGACAAAATTTCTCTAGGGATTTCCCACTCTGGAGAAGAGGACAAAAGGGTTCAGCCACCTCTGTAGTGGTTATGGTCTTTAAGGGTATGGCTTCAGGGAAACTCGAAGCATAATCAACTAATGTTAATATATATCTATGTCCCCCAGATGAAAGAGAGATAAAGGGCCAACGATGTCAATAGCTACTCTTTCAAAGGGGACCGTAAAGATTGGCATTTTGACCATAGTTAAATCGCCTGGTACCTCGGGAGGATGACAGTTGGCAAACTTAACACGATCTGAGGACATTTTTGGCCAAAAATAGGTTTCCCTAATTTTATTTAAGGTTTTATGATGCGAGAAATTCCGGCCACTGGCAGGTCATGAGCCATTTTAGAACAGTCTCTCTGCATTGACTTGGAACGACTAAGATGGGAAAAGTCATCTCGTCTGAATTTAATTTGAATACTGATTTATACAAGATAAACCTTTATATATTCAAATTTATATGAAAAGTTTTTCCTTTTAATAACTTGATTTTGGGTTTTGCTGCATTATGGCAATTCTGAAAGAAGGGCAATTACATTGTAAATTGACAAAGGAGTCCTTCGATATATTAAAGGCTTAAAGTCAGGAAAAATCATAGGAGGACAGTAGGGAAAATCTGGCTTTGGTCTGAGCCCTAGTCAAGACATTTATAGTATCGGAGGGATATCTTCACTTTCATCTAACAAGTGAACCGGGGATCCTACACCTCGCTTTCGAGAGTAGCATCATTGGTTTTTTAAACCCCCATGAATATTCCGAGACATTGTCCTCATCTGGACTTTCGAGGGGCTTCCTGACTCTACAGGAAGAGGATCTAAACACATTAGTCCATCTTTGGTGATGAAAGGTCAACCTCAGAAGAAGAATGTCACCTTTTACATTACCTATTAGTACGGAGCAAGAAGTGATGGGGGCTAGTATGGCTTCAGACCAACCTGTGAACCTTTAGACCTAATGTAACAACGGGTGGTAGGGAAAAATGTCCGTACGGCCCAAGTAGTCTGAAAGTATAGCAGAGGAATGATTTCTTTAAGGTTAGGGAACAGCTTTTCAGAAATGACTATACATGTGCATCCATGTCTCGTGAAATGGTAGATACATTAAGTCCCTTAACTGTTCCTGAACAGAAGGGTGCTTGGTCATTACAGTCTTTAAAACCCTCTTCCAACTTTTTGGACCTTCTTAGAAGGACAATCTGGACGTTTTTTGTCCTTAACACCACACAAATGACAAACAGATAAAAGAAGTCATTTTGCTTTCCACTAGAGGTTTTGATTTCTTAAGGTCTGATGAACCCTTGCCCTTAGGGTTCGATCCCTTTAGGAGTTTAGGTCTTTATAGGAATTGTGAGCCTCAGCATACAGGTCAGCAGCCTCAGCAACTTCCTCAGCTTTAATCAGGTTACGTTCTCTGATGAATGTTCGTATCTGATGGGGAAGAGCTGTCAGGAACTGGTCAGCAACCATGAAGTCTCTAAGAGATTCATAACTGCGATCAATTCCTGAACTCTCTATCCAAAAGTCGAACAAACGAAAGAGTGTCTGTAACTGCTGAAAGTTTTGGCCAGACTGTAAGGTGGCATACCTGAAATCTTTCCTGTAAGAATTTGTGGTTTTTTAATATGCTTTAAGGATTGCCTTCTTCAGTAGGTTATAATTACATATGATATCCTTCGACAAAGTTACATAGATATTCAAAGCTGTACCAGAAAATAACATTCCTAACCTGGTAGCCCAGGTGTCAGCAGGCCATTCACAGAGGGTAGTGGTATTTTCAAACCTGATAATGTATGAAGTTATGTCTTCACCCTCTGTGAAGGAAGGTAAATTAGATGTCTTCACCCTCTGTGAAGGGAGGTAAATTAGGTGTTGGAATATGTGCACTAGTTGCATGATGTTCAATTACTCCTTCCTCTAATTGTTGTTGTGTAAGAGTTAACTTTTTATTCTCTAATTCAAGGTGAGCTTTTTCGAGCTCGCGATCCTTTTCTCTCTCTATTAACTCGAGTTCTCTAGCTTTTTCCTCACGTTCTCTAGCTTTTTCCTCAACTTCTCTATCCTTTTCTCTTTCCTCAAGTTCTCTTAATTTAACTTGTTCCTCACGTTCTCTAGCTCTCTCTCCTCACGATCAAGTCTATCACGCTCCTTTTTGTCTTCTCTCTCTCTTTCTAACTGTCTATCTTGGTTTTCTCTTTCAATTCGATCTCTCTCCTTTTTCTCTTCTCTTTCCCTTTCTAACTGTCTCTCTTCTCTCTCAATTCTCTCTCTTTCAAGTCTTTCCTGGATCTTAGCACTAATGAAAGATTCTAAATTTTTCCCTGTTATTCCTAACTTACTTCCAGCATTCATCCAAAACTGGTATTCCTCCATACTTGCAAGAATAACTTAAACTATGGGGGAAATGAAACGGGTATTAAAGAAAACGGAGGGTTCAATTACTGCTCCGCTCAAACTGTAAATAAACCAGAGGGCTCGATCCCTGCTTCAATTAAACAATATGTATTAATGAAAATGAAGGGTTCTATGTCGGCTCTGAGCAAACAGTAAGTAGAATGGGGTCACTTGACCATCCAATCTTCTCACCAACAAATCAAGAGTGTCCTACGACAGTTTTCCCCTGATAAATAAAGAGCTCAATGAAACAAATTGTCACTGGAAAATCTCGGGTCCCTAGAGTCTAATCCTCCAAAGTGTTTCAAGCTCGAACAAAAAGGTGGCAGAATTAAATATTATATCCTGCCTGACTTGACTTACAATAAATTGAGACTATAACAATCATCAAATCTTTTAAATACCTGTACTGTAGTCCTACCATAGAGAATGACTACTCATGGCTGGTGGTAACCGTCTGTGGTATGCGGCGTTGAAGTTTTCCCAAAGGTAGATTCGAGATGGAGTTGAATCTTGATTCAGTAGAGTTGATCCTGGCAAGGTCGCCGCTTGTAAAGGCTTACTCAGCCCTGTAACAACTTCAGACAGTAGTACCAAGGCTGGTTCCTCCTCAGGAAAATTAATGAATAGAAAAAGAACAAAAACTGACAAACATAAACACTTTATTAAATTTAGAAAATTTAAAATATAAAACACTTAAATATGAAAATATTGATCCTACCTTAAAGAAAATGAAAAATATAAATGAATCTGAATTCAACGCTAATATATAATATAAAACTTGGGTGTCTGTTGTTGGGGACACGTGTGTTGTTGAAATCGTAGCCATTGCGTGATGGGGGGGGGGTCGCAGGTGTTGATGACAACCCCCCCGGCTCGTTCTTCACAGATTTTCTAGCCGTCAATAATCCGTCCAGATGACAGGAAAGCAGGTTTTTTTTCCACTGCAATGATGAGGGGTTATATCCTGCTACTTGCATACACAAACAGGTAAGTGGATCAGAATTTGGGACGTCTCAGAACGTTAATCCGTCTCCTTCAATTCTACTCGTTGATTAGCAGGTGACCCTCTCTGTCCTTTCAAGCTGTAAAGAGAGACAGATTACCCACTGCTTAAAAAATCACTCTCCATGATAAGTACAATACCTAAAAGATGTGGTGATTATTAAAACATTTTAACCTATCAGGACTGAAAGGACTAAGTTAATTATTGGTCAAAAGTGAAGCTTTCAACCAATAAGTCCACTAAAATATGATGAGGCGTGTACTTACAGTAGTGTTGGGAGCTGTGAGTCGAGTGATTTACTGTTTGACAGGAGCCCCACACGTCACCTTTCGGGGGGGGAGAAGAAGGGAGGGGAAGGAATAGTGGGAGCTAGACTGACCCTACCTTAACAAGCAGCCGGCAATCAAACTATCACTTTCGGGGAGGGGGAAAAAGGGGGGGGGGAATAGCGGGAGCTGGACTTACCCTACCTTAACAAGTAGCCGGCAATGAAACTATTGTTACTATATACTCCCTCGCTACTCCTATCTATTGAACTTTTCTCTCACAGGTGCAAAGGTAGACATAATGGGGTAATTCATATTTAATTCTTGAAATTGTCAAATGTTATATCCCAACCCCTAAACACTTCTAACAATCCTCCAGAATTGGAAAAATCTCATTTAATCAAACAGTCCAAATAAAGCACATCTCTTTCTGAGCAGTTGGGTTGTGAAGGTGATGAGACATGCATTGATACCTGGCATGTGGGTGGTGAAACATGGTGTGTGTGTGTGTGTTTGTGTGGGTAGCAAAATATGTGTGGGTGGTTGATACTGGGTGTGTTAGTGATGAGGTACAGTTGTTGGTGTTACATTGTATGTGGGTAGTGAAACATGGTGTGTAGATGGTGGGATAAACATTTCAATATTGTAAAGGTACTGAGGGTATCTTTAAAGGCGATCTTTGAATTACAAATGCTCTAGTATTATTTAAATAATCATTAATAAGGTGGTGCATGACTGAAGGTACGTACTGTGAAAAACATAATATGAAAGAATGCAGTATTCATCACAGGAACATTAAAAAAATATGGTTAAAATTTTTCACTTATATTTTCCCTTCAGGATCCTGTTTTCATAAAAATAATTTTTTCCAGGGCTCTATACAACGATGGACTATTTGTGAATGTCACTCTCTCTGATGTGCAACTAGACACTACTGTAATATCTAGTAGTAATCAAGGACGAGCAGTCTTGGTAGAAGAGTGTCGCTGCCCACAAGGCTACTTGGGACTTTCATGTCAAGTATGTTATAACATTTTCTTAAATAAGTTTCAAGATTTTTTCTGTTTTATCATTAATGCCTTCTTTCTCTCAGTGGTCTTAATACAATCAAATATCAAAAGAACAGGAGAGTATGAAACATAGTTAAGGAAATAAAGTGCTGTATTACAGTGGACCCTCCCTTTTCGTCTTTAACCCTTTCAGGGTCCAGAGGCCAAATTTCAAAGTGCACACCAGTGTCCAAGAATTTTCAAAAAATAATTTTGTTGTTTTTTTTTCTTATGAAATGGTAGAGAATCTTTTTCTGAAGGTAGTAAAACAAAAAGTACGAAATTTAATGGAAAATTTACGAAATTATGCTCTTGCAAATTTTGATGTGTCAGCGATATTTACGCATCTGCGATTTTGCCGACTTTGACTCCCATTTTAGGCCAATTACCTTATTCCAGTCGATCAAACTCTTAGCTATTTCACTAGTATTACTTCTATTCTATCAATTGAGCACAAGAAATCGCCAACTCAGCTGTTTCAACTACAAAATAAAGTGAATGGAAATTGGTAATTTGGCCTATTTAGTGCAAAGTTCAAAATATTCCAATTTCAAAATAGGGTCCAGAATAAACAATGCAGCCATTCCTGGCACTAAACTAACATTTCCTCTGTTCATTAGTTATGTTTTCAGGCTTTACAAATGAATTCCATTTTGATTTTTAATTTACATAATGAATTTTTATTCAAACCAAAAAATAGAAGATTTACTGTCATGCAATATTGTAATAATTGTATAAATAATATCAGTACATTTTTGAACGTATATCAGACCCACCAGCTGACGTGTATTAGACGTGTGAGGTAATTTGTTTACTCTTAAACATCAGCAAAAATTTAACATTTCTGCTACTTTGAGCTCAGTTTCAAGCCATTTTCAATGCAAAAACCAATCAAAATCATCCCTACTTCTGTAATATATCTTCCATTCTTTCAAATGAGATCAAGAAATTGCAAATACAACTATAAAAAATATAGAGCAAAATCACTGCAAAGTCACTGTTTTAATTGAAAATTACGGTCTCAGTTTTTTTTCTCTCATTATGCACCGTTTGCTGCAGGATTTGTTTTATGTGGTGCACACATACCACATAGATGTATTCTCTCATATCTTGGCCCAAATTTACCGCTCACAGCTTTTCAAAGTGAACTGAGCTCATGGCGTAGATCTACGGTTTGGACCCTCAACGTAAAGCCGTAGATCTATGGCACGGACCCTGAAAGGGTTAATTTGTTTGAGAGAGTCCAATGAAAACATTTTTCCCATAAGAAATAATGTAAATCCAATTAATCCATTTCAGACTTCCAAAAATATAAAAAAAAATACATTTTATAGAGAAGAACTATATTCCATGGCTTATCTATCTCAATTCATCTAATAAGACATAATAAACAATATTAACCCTTTCAGGGCTGGTGCTGTACTAGTACAGCTTGCACGCCAGGGTTGGTGCTGTACTAGTACGCATAAATTCTAGCGGCTTCAAATCTAGCGAGAGAAAGCTGGTAGGCCTAAATATGAAAGAATGGGTCTATGTGGTCAGTGTGCACAGTATAAAAAAAAAATCCTGCAGCACACAGTGCATAATAAGAAAAAAAAACTTTGACGGTGTTTTTGCCTTAAAACAGCGACTTTGCAGTGTATTTTTGTATTCTATTTATGGTTGTATTCTAGTTTTCCTGGTCTTATTTTATAGAATGGAAGACGTATTACAGAAACTGAGATGATTTTGATTGGTTTCACAATGAAAAGTACCTTGAAATTGAGCTCAAATTAGCAGAAATGTTTGATTTTTTGCCTAAGTTCAAAAGTAAACAAATCATGTCATGCGTCCAATACACGTCAACTGGTGAGTCTAATATTCTTTCACAAGTGCGCTGATATTATTTATATCATTTTTACATTAATGCAGTAGTCTGCATAACAGTAAATCTTCTATTTTTTTTGTGAGAGTAAAAATTCAAAATGGAAAGCAAAAGAAATGTAAGAGAGGCCTGGGGACATGACAAATGAACAGAAAAAATGTTATTTTAGTGCCAAGAGTGTCTGTCTTGTTTATTCTGGACACTATTTGGAAATTGGCATCTTTTGATATTTGTGTGAAATTGGCAAAATTGCCAATTTCTGGCCACTTTATTGGATAGTTTAAATTGGTAAGTGGGTGGTTTCTTGTATTCTTCCGATAGAAAAAATGGAGTTCTAGCGAAGTAGTTATGATTTTTGTCGACTGGTACATTGGAATTGGCTGAAAATAGGGTTCAAAGTGGGCGAAATCGCCGATGCGTAAACATCGTTGAGACCGCTAACTTCGCGAGAGCATAATTCCATAAGTTTTCCATCAAATTTCATACTTTTGGTGTCATTATGATCGGGAAAAGATTTTCTATTATTTCATAAGAAAAAATATTTTTTTTTTTGTTTTTTTCGAAAAATTTCTGACCCCGAGAACAAGTTCAGGAGAGGGCCTGTCAACCCTGAAAGGGTTAATAACATAAAAACATGATATATGCTCTAGAATGAATAAAATATGTCATTACGTATATGATGAGTAAGTGGTGGTGATGTTGTTGTTGGGTTTATAAGGGAGAGAAGCCGTACATATTAGTGGTAGTGTAGGCGGCAGGAGAAGCTACCAACACTATTCACACAAACAGTGTACATAATTTTTAAATAAGAAATATTTACACTTTAATTTATAAATAAGAAATGTTTACACTTTATAAATAAGAAATATTTACACTTACTGTACCTTGAAGATGCTTGCATTGGTTTAGGGTGTTGGAAGATAGGCAGGGCAGTATATGTTTGTCAGTGGCCCTATATACCTCCAGTAACATTGGAGGAGTCAGTTTCGTGTCGTCCTTTTTCTGTCGCTTAATCGCTTAACTTATTTGCTACAATGTTAATGCTACACTTCATTGCTGGCTGGCGCTATAGCCTTTATCAACTCCTGCTGAATCACTGAAGAAGGCACATTCTCCCCTCTCTCTTCCTCCTCTACTTTGGTACTCTGCTACGAGTTTTTTCTTGAATTCTATTGTGTTTCGGTACTTTGCTACAAGCTTTTTCTTGAATTCTATCATGTTTCTCAACTTCTTTATGAACAGGCTAACACTAGCAGCTTTCTTTGGGCCCATGATGGCGTATTTAGCAGCCACACCGAATAAACAAATGCAAAAAACAATGAATTATTACGAAATGTTTCTTATGGCTTCGCAGGATAATGTTCACTCACCCATAAACAAAGCGACACTGCCTCCTCTGAATGCGTGTGTGGGAGGTTGTGTGCGCAGCACACTCGGGCATGTACCCTACCACCAACGAGAATGGAGGAAAGCAGTGGAAACAAAGCCAATATTTTTACTGTACCACCAACAAGAACGGAGGAAAGCAACAAAAACGGAGCCAGTAATTTTATGGAAAAAATCAGCGATAATGGAAATGAGTGAAAACAGAGCCCAACAAAAGGGAGGGTCCACTGTATATGCAGTAGCACATTTAAAATATGCTTACTGACACTATGACTTTAAAATATTTGTTATTTAGCTGTAAGTTAATATTCAATATGTATGTGTGTGTTTTTTTTTTTTTTAACAAACTGGCCGTATCCCACCAAGGCAGGGTGGCCCAAAAAGAAAAACAAAAGTTTCTGTTTTTAAATTCAGTAATTTATACAGGAGAAGGGGTCACTAGCCCCTTGCTCCCAGCAGTTTAGTTGCCTCTTACAACACCCATGGCTTACGGAGGAAGAATTCTGTTCCACTTCCCCATGGAGGTAAGAGGAAATAAACAAGAACAGGAACTAGAAAGAAAATAGAAGAAAACCCAGAGGGGTGTGTGTATATATGCTTGTACATGTATGTTTAGTGTGACCTAAGTGTAAGTAGAAGTAGCAAGACGTACCTGAAATCTTGCATGTTTATAAGACAGAAAAAAAGGACACCAGCAATCCTACCGCCATGCAAAACAATTACAGGCTTTCGTTTTACACTCACTTGGCATGTGTGTGTGTATGTGATAGTAATCATGCATTTGTGGTTACAGAGGCTGAGTTGTCTCCTGCCTCTCAACTTGCTGCTTGCAAGATTCACTTTCTCCTATCCTCATGGGCTTTATCACACCTGCTACTTAAAACTATGTATAGAGCCTGCCTCCACCACTTATTCATCAAGATTTTCCATTTTCTGACCATAGAAATATTCCCTGACATCCTTGTGGCTCATCTGTGTCTTTTAACTTTCTTATCACTTTATATCTTGGTTGAAATATTTCATCTGATATTTTGATCAGCTTTTTTTTGGTGATAGGTATGATATCTGGAATTACCTCTGCTATTCCTTCTTTCAGTTCAACACTCTTGTTTGATAATCTTCCTGTGTTTGTGTACCACACTTTGAGCTTACTTTCCCTTACCTTACACTGGTTTGTATTGTCCACTCTTTCTGTATGTTGCTCATCCAACAGGAGTGGGAGAGGTTGGTCCAAGGTTGGTTTACACATTACTACTGGGGAAGGGGTCAAAGATAAGGTTATAGTCAGGGAAGGGGGAGGGCATGGGGAGAAGAGTAATGGTGGGGTGTTAGTGTTAGTGTTCGTGCTGGGGAATGGGGGATGACCCAGAGCTGAGACAGCTTTGAAAGGGACTGGGGTTGCATATTGCAGAGTTCTTTGAGTTTGGGTGCTCCCTCTACCTGGCCCCTTATCTGCTGCTCTTCTTAGTGCCTTTCACATTTTCTCATACTCCCTCAGCTGTCACCTCTCTATCACTACCGTGTCCCAATCCAGGCTTACACAACTGTAGTGTCATGTGGTTTTCAGGTGCTCTTTCTGTTGTAAGATCCTGTCCTGAGCTGTATGGGACCAAAAGTTTAGTTTGATTGGGCATTGTTTGCCTTGGGAAAACCCTCCAGTTCTCTGAAAATTTGCCATCTACCTTTTCTCTTCCTCTCCTATGCACTCAATGATTATTACACTCTCACATTCCTCCTGTTCTCATCTTCTGCTTCCTGAGCCTCCTTCAGATTCTGGGAGTCCATGAATTACCAATTAATTGTATATGTGCATCAGTATACTTATGCACATGTGCATAAGTATACTGGTGCACATATGTGCAGTGAATGAATAATAATTCAGTTGGGTGATCAGGGTTCAGATCAGCAGTTCAGATGTCCTACATATACCAGCCCATTACATTAGAGGTCCTACATATACCAGCCCATTACATTAGAGGTCCTACATATACCAGCCCATTACATTAGAGGTCCTACATATACCAGCCCATTACATTAGAGGTCCTACATATACCAGCCCATTACATTAGAGGTCCTACATATACCAGCCCATTTCATTAGAGGTCCTACATATACCAGCCCATTACATTAGAGGTCCTACATATACCAGCCCATTACATTAGAGGTCCTACATATACCAGCCCATTACATTAGAGGTCCTACATGTACCAGCCCATTACATTAGAGGTCCTACATATACCAGTCCATTACATTAGAGGTCCTACATATACCAGCCCATTACATTAGAGGTCCTACATGTACCAGCCCATTACATTAGAGGTCCTACATATACCAGCCCATTACATTAGAGGTCCTACATGTACCAGCCCATTACATTAGAGGTCCTACATATACCAGCCCATTACATTAGAGGTCTTACATATACCAGCCCATTACATTAGAGGTCCTACATATACCAGCCCATTACATTAGCCACTGAACCAGAGAGAGAGTCTTATATGTACATTTGTAAACAGTGTATGAGGCATTGTACAGCAGAAAATAATAAGTGCCAAATTCAAACAGTGGAGAAAAATGCAGTTGTGTGAGAGATCGGAGCTATGAAGGACAAATTACCATACTTTATTCTGGGGCTCTGAGCCCAACTTTCAGATGCAGAAGACAATATCTATATATTCCCTCAAATAGATGACACATTAAAGAATTGAGTCATTTACCAACCTGGGTTTTGGCCAGTGTGGTGCTTATTCTTTTCTCCCATGCAAAGCCTCATGTATCTGTATATACACTCCATTCACACAGTCTTTTTTTATGCTAGGATTGTGCACCAAACTACCGTAGGGTACAACAAGGGCCTTGGCTAGGTCGTTGTGTACCAGATCTTGAGTGTAGTGCTATGGAGTATGGTGATCCTGCAAATGGTATTCCTTGTCTGCCATGCTCTTGCCCTCTGACATCTCCTAATAATCAGTAAGTGTACTTTTTTTGTTGTTTATTATCCTGTGCTTAAAGGGTTAATGAGATTACCTAATGTAGTAATGATGTCACTTATAATAATAACAAGATGTAAACTTAATGTAATAAGTGATACCAAGAATAATAATAATGATGTGAAATAATATTGATGATTCCATAATAATTTTAAGTCACTAGAAATTTAAAACATGGAGTACTGATAATTGTAAACAAAATATTTATAATCCAAAGTATGCATTGCATTTTTGATAAAACTAAAGGTACAACACAAGTGATAATTATTCATAAATGGTTGTAGAGTACATTTATAATTGTCATAACACAGAGAATTTGAATTAAAGGCTGCAGTTTATTGAACAAATGTGTAATTATTAGTAGTAATACTGACAGTAATCAGGTAAATGGACAAATATGCAACTGAATGATATATTAGCTAAGGAGACATTTTGCCCACCTGGGCCTTTGCAGAGTCAGTACATACATCACATGGACACACTGAGTATACATAGGGGAGGAAGTTGGGGTAGTAGTAATAGTAATAGCTGTTGAACCTTCGATATACCTTTCATGAGTTCTGAGAGTTTTAATACAGTAACATAATGCTAAAAGAGAAAGAACCAAACATGTATCTCTCCATAGGTTTGGCACCTCTTGCTACTTGGCTAATGATGGTCTGGTAACATGCAGTTGCAGACAGGGATATCAAGGACGTCGTTGTGAATTGTGTGCCAGTGGTTATGAAGGCAACCCTACCATACCCGGTGGCAGTTGTAGGCCAGGTAGGGTTATTGGTGATGTATTCAAGTAAATCAAATACGTATATTATGTTTGCTGGTGTTATTCTTTAGTGTGTATTCAAAAAAAAAAAAAAAAAAAACTACAGAATATGGAGCCATATAGTAAAATTTCTTCTGTTATATTAAAATTTAAAAAAATGGTTTAAGGGTATAATTTGTTCTTAGTATTTTGGGTGTATATGAGCAGCAGTCAGGGCCTACAAGGTGGAACTTGACTGTTTTGGGGCCCCTTGGGGTAGGCTGAGGCCCCCAGTCTATGTGAATTTTATATAATTTATTTTTCTAAAAAAGAGAAGAAGAAAAACTTTATAAAACTGGGTTGCTTAAATGTGCGTGGATGTAGTGCGGATGACAAGAAACAGATGATTGCTGATGTTATGAATGAAAAGAAGTTGGATGTCCTGGCCCTAAGCGAAACAAAGCTGAAGGGGGTAGGAGAGTTTCAGTGGGGGGAAATAAATGGGATTAAATCTGGAGTATCTGAGAGAGTTAGAGCAAAGGAAGGGGTAGCAGTAATGTTAAATGATCAGTTATGGAAGGAGAAAAGAGAATATGAATGTGTAAATTCAAGAATTATGTGGATTAAAGTAAAGGTTGGATGCGAGAAGTGGGTCATAATAAGCGTGTATGCACCTGGAGAAGAGAGGAATGCAGAGGAGAGAGAGAGATTTTGGGAGATGTTAAGTGAATGTATAGGAGCCTTTGAACCAAGTGAGAGAGTAATTGTGGTAGGGGACTTGAATGCTAAAGTAGGAGAAACTTTTAGAGAGGGTGTGGTAGGTAAGTTTGGGGTGCCAGGTGTAAATGATAATGGGAGCCCTTTGATTGAACTTTGTATAGAAAGGGGTTTAGTTATAGGTAATACATATTTTAAGAAAAAGAGGATAAATAAGTATACACGATATGATGTAGGGCGAAATGACAGTAGTTTGTTGGATTATGTATTGGTAGATAAAAGACTGTTGAGTAGACTTCAGGATGTACATGTTTATAGAGGGGCCACAGATATATCAGATCACTTTCTAGTTGTAGCTACACTGAGAGTAAAAGGTAGATGGGATACAAGGAGAATAGAAGCATCAGGGAAGAGAGAGGTGAAGGTTTATAAACTAAAAGAGGAGGCAGTTAGGGTAAGATATAAACAGCTATTGGAGGATAGATGGGCTAATGAGAGCATAGGCAATGGGGTCGAAGAGGTATGGGGTAGGTTTAAAAATGTAGTGTTAGAGTGTTCAGCAGAAGTTTGTGGTTACAGGAAAGTGGGTGCAGGAGGGAAGAGGAGCGATTGGTGGAATGATGATGTAAAGAGAGTAGTAAGGGAGAAAAAGTTAGCATATGAGAAGTTTTTACAAAGTAGAAGTGATGCAAGGAGGGAAGAGTATATGGAGAAAAAGAGAGAGGTTAAGAGAGTGGTGAAGCAATGTAAAAAGAGAGCAAATGAGAGAGTGGGTGAGATGTTATCAACAAATTTTGTTGAAAATAAGAAAAAGTTTTGGAGTGAGATTAACAAGTTAAGAAAGCCTAGAGAACAAATTGATTTGTCAGTTAAAAATAGGAGAGGAGAGTTATTAAATGGAGAGTTAGAGGTATTGGGAAGATGGAAGGAATATTTTGAGGAATTGTTAAATGTTGATGAAGATAGGGAAGCTGTGATTTCGTGTATAGGGCAAGGAGGAATAACATCTTGTAGGAGTGAGGAAGAGCCAGTTGTGAGTGTGGGGGAAGTTCGTGAGGCAGTAGGTAAAATGAAAGGGGGTAAGGCAGCCGGGATTGATGGGATAAAGATAGAAATGTTAAAAGCAGGTGGGGATATAGTTTTGGAGTGGTTGGTGCAATTATTTAATAAATGTATGGAAGAGGGTAAGGTACCTAGGGATTGGCAGAGAGCATGCATAGTTCCTTTGTATAAAGGCAAAGGGGATAAAAGAGAGTGCAAAAATTATAGGGGGATAAGTCTGTTGAGTGTACCTGGTAAAGTGTATGGTAGAGTTATAATTGAAAGAATTAAGAGTAAGACGGAGAATAGGATAGCAGATGAACAAGGAGGCTTTAGGAAAGGTAGGGGGTGTGTGGACCAGGTGTTTACAGTGAAACATATAAGTGAACAGTATTTAGATAAGGCTAAAGAGGTCTTTGTGGCATTTATGGATTTGGAAAAGGCGTATGACAGGGTGGATAGGGGGGCAATGTGGCAGATGTTGCAAGTGTATGGTGTAGGAGGTAGGTTACTGAAAGCAGTGAAGAGTTTTTACGAGGATAGTGAGGCTCAAGTTAGAGTATGTAGGAAAGAGGGAAATTTTTTCCCAGTAAAAGTAGGCCTTAGACAAGGATGTGTGATGTCACCGTGGTTGTTTAATATATTTATAGATGGGGTTGTAAGAGAAGTAAATGCGAGGGTCTTGGCAAGAGGCGTGGAGTTAAAAGATAAAGAATCACACACAAAGTGGGAGTTGTCACAGCTGCTTTTTGCTGATGACACTGTGCTCTTGGGAGATTCTGAAGAGAAGTTGCAGAGATTGGTGGATGAATTTGGTAGGGTGTGCAAAAGAAGAAAATTAAAGGTGAATACAGGAAAGAGTAAGGTTATGAGGATAACAAAAAGATTAGGTGATGAAAGATTGAATATCAGATTGGAGGGAGAGAGTATGGAGGAGGTGAACGTATTCAGATATTTGGGAGTGGACGTGTCAGCGGATGGGTCTATGAAAGATGAGGTGAATCATAGAATTGATGAGGGAAAAAGAGTGAGTGGTGCACTTAGGAGTCTGTGGAGACAAAGAACTTTGTCCTTGGAGGCAAAGAGGGGAATGTATGAGAGTATAGTTTTACCAACGCTCTTATATGGGTGTGAAGCGTGGGTGATGAATGTTGCAGCGAGGAGAAGGCTGGAGGCAGTGGAGATGTCATGTCTGAGGGCAATGTGTGGTGTGAATATAATGCAGAGAATTCGTAGTTTGGAAGTTAGGAGGAGGTGCGGGATTACCAAAACTGTTGTCCAGAGGGCTGAGGAAGGGTTGTTGAGGTGGTTCGGACATGTAGAGAGAATGGAGCGAAACAGAATGACTTCAAGAGTGTATCAGTCTGTAGTGGAAGGAAGGCGGGGTAGGGGTCGGCCTAGGAAGGGTTGGAGGGAGGGGGTAAAGGAGGTTTTGTGTGCGAGGGGCTTGGACTTCCAGCAGGCATGCGTGAGCGTGTTTGATAGGAGTGAATGGAGACAAATGGTTTTTAATACTTGACGTGCTGTTGGAGTGTGAGCAAAGTAACATTTATGAAGGGATTCAGGGAAACCGGCAGGCCGGACTTGAGTTCTGGAGATGGGAAGTACAGTGCCTGCACTCTGAAGGAGGGGTGTTAATGTTGCAGTTTAAAAACTGTAGTGTAAAGCACCCTTCTGGCAAGACAGTGATGGAGTGAATGATGGTGAAAGTTTTTCTTTTTCGGGCCACCCTGCCTTGGTGGGAATCGGCCGGTGTGATAATAAAATAAAAAAAAAAAATTTCTAGAAAGAGCTAAAAATAGTTGAAATTGCCAAAAAATCAAATGAAAAAATAAAAATAAAATGTCTGTGGCTATGGGGACCCTTCAGAGATTTACATCTGGGCCCCGGAGCAATGTACCAGCTGAATCCCCTCTCATAGGCCCTGGCTGCAATGCTTGCAAAGTTTGAATATTGTCCTGTCTATATTTGTCTCTCAGCAAATAATGTATTTTTTTTTAGAAAATCTGTTACTCTAATTATTTTAGGATTATTTTTCAACCTGCAAATCCTTGGATAATACTGAACATTATGATGTGCTGTGAACTAGGACAATTTCTTTGATTGCCTTTTCACAAAGAACATTTATTAAATAGAATATACATCAAACTACTTCAGCTAACCTTCAGAACATCTGCCCTTATGTGTTTGATGTTCATTAAATTGATAATGTATGACTAATGATGGGCTTTTTTAATTATTAGATGGATACAAGCAATACATGGAGAAAACTGTACAGCAGGATTGCCATTTTGACTTAAGAGTAAACATCATAGTTACATAATACAATTCACAGTATTTAAATAATAATTACGTAATACAGTTCATATCATTTAAAAAAGTCTGTGTAATGATAACCCTCAGCAAGGATCACCTGCTTTGGTGGGAGATAGCCAGCATGCTGAAAAAAATTTTAAGTAGCAAACTTTGTAGGAAATTAACTGGTGAAAGGGTATTTCCTCTTCTGTCTATTATTTGAAAATTCTTCTCTCAGGTCTGAGAGAAGAATTTTCAGAGTGTTTTAGGTCTCTTTATAGAAGAAATTAATCCACAAGTACATTATACTATATTATTATAATTGTCCATAAATATATACAGGATGTAAATTAATTTTATGTCTCTTCAAAGGCTTAGGATGATAGATGTAGTTACATATCGCACAACTCTTGTCATTGTATATGTAGTGATGTGACAAATGTAAATTTGTACAAGTACGTACTGGTATTTTAATACTGACAGATTGTGGGAACAAGGCACATATGCACAGTTAAGACATTTACGTCTCTTGTAATGAATGTCTTGATTGTGCATGTGTGTCTTACTTCCATAATATGTTAAATGTTTGTATTTTTACATGTTCTTCATTTATTTTATGTGCTTTCCAGTTTGTAAACATTACTGGTTAAAAAGATCCAAGTGTGTTATTTTTTGGGAGTAACATAATTAATTTTGTTTTATAAAACTAGTGCCTCCATCTTGTGAGTGGTATGAGTTCATTTGTGGTGATATGTCAAACTGCATCCACAAGGATAAACGTTGTGACCTCATCCGTGACTGCCCCGATGGCTCTGATGAGGAATTTTGTGGTTAGTGCCATCTACAAGGCAGTTATCACTGGGATGATTATCTACATGTACAGGAATCACTTAGAAAGTGTCCTAAAGGAACTTACACTGTAGTTTCTATTTATTTCCTTTTGCTTCTTTTTCTTCTTAAATTGTCATCA